ACCAGAACATGTCGCTCATCTGTCATTTCTGATCTGACCGTTCCCTTTAAACCTTCTGGGATGGGACTTTGGGACAGTCAGTTTTCTCATACACAGCAGCAAAAAACTGGAACATGCTTTCAGCTGAACTTTAAACTTGCACTAACTCCCAAACTTTCTCTCATGGGCTAAAATGACGTCTTCAAGCAGCAGAGTGTCAACACCAGGCTTCTTCAAACGTTTGAACATTCTGACTGACTGTCCTGTAGACGTGTTGTGGAGATGGAAATGTGTTGTGTTTGACTCATGACATTTGTCTTGATGGTCGTGTTGTTGATGAATTGTATTTTAGAGGATAATTACACCAATACGCCAAAAGTGGAGTGTTAAAATTGACTCTCACAGAATCAACTTTAACATTTTCTCAGAGTTTATATGAGTCCAATCTGTTCTAGAGTTAATTTAACATTTTTGGAAATGTTAATCAAGTAACATTGGACCAAAGTTTCTGTTTAACCCCAAAATCCAGAGTTATATTCATGTTTTGAGAGTAAACAGATCACACTTTGTAGAGTTATTCTGATTTAGCTAAACAACACACATAGAGGTATTTTATTTTTTTACTTTATTTGAGTTAATTTAAGATGAAATTATGTACAAAACTGGTTCAAAGTGATCTTCTCTCACAAGAGGTTGAAGTGGTGAACAGAAGGAGCCAAATTAACAATAAGAGAAGTTGAATTAACCTCAACCACATCAACTCTGACAAATAACCCCAACTCGAACCCCCATTTAACTTTCAAATAGTTAAAATAACACTTTTGGTGTTAAAAACAACTCTAAAATATTTTACCCTAAACTTTTAACCCTCCAGTTTTTGCGGTGTACAGATGAAACATACATATTACAGGATTTTGATGACACTAACATTTTTAGAAGATAATGATGAACTTGAAATCTTGGATTGATGGAAATTAGAATGAATTAATTGTGATTGTTTAAATGATGAATTTGATAGTGATTATTTTAAGGAGACACTGTTAATGATGAATTGTTGTGTCAATAGTTTCCTTAATATGTAATGTGTTTTTATTTATTTTATTTTTTTATGTATTATGTACCTGAGGACTGTGGATGGAAAGGAGCTTGTAGCTGAATGTTGCACAGAGCATCTTTTCTCTCGGAGTGTTCTGTGTACTGTCCTTGGTTTAAATCAATAAAGAATACAATAAAGCGTCTATAGTTTTGATGATTATTGGCACAGAGTCTTCAGGCCTCGTACATTCATGGCTCGGTGAATCCAGACTCAAACCTTTCTGTTTTATCAGTCTGGTCCCTGTGCAGTCCAGTCACTTTTGTTTATTTCAGTGATGCATGTGAAACAAAGGACCATCATTTACAAACAAAATTTCCCACTCCTGAACAGAGTTTAGAGCTTCTTTCATTGATTCTGCAGAAACCTGATGTTTTTTTAGTCCTCTGTGATATTTTTGCTCTTTAGTTTTCCTCTTAAGCAGCCATATTTGTTTTGATACGGACAGACCGGTGCTCTCTCTGATTGGATAATTCAACTGTCAGTCGCTCTGAACTTGGGGAGATTTACCAGTGACAAGACCAGAGGTGGATGGAGTATCACAAATGTACTCCAGTAAGAGTAAAAACATATGTGGGAAAACTACTGTTCAAGTAAGAGTAATTTAATAGGCGAGTTTCAGCTGACGTCATTGTTGTTAAAAGCCCGCGTTGCATGCTGGGAAATATTTTGGTCAGAATCAAGAAACACGATAGCGGTCAAACACAGTGCGTAACCTCTCGTATTTCTCCCCGATAATGGTAAATTCCTGCTGCATTATCGGATGCACAAATAGAAGCACGGAAGAAGGAAAATGTCTTTTTCGTATTCAGAGTGAAAAGAACCGCTAACGGTGAATTAAATGGTTTTCAAACATTCGCAGAGCAAACGCAGAAGATCCTAACAAACCGTGGACTCCAACAAGTTCAACAACACATTGAGACTCTTGGAGGTTTTCATCTTTTCTGCTGTGAATGACCCAGGAGTTTCCACCAAGTCATTGTGGATATCACCAAAGTGAATATTTGTCCAGGTAGTTGGAGATTCTGACCAGAAATTTGGTTTGGTCCACCTTTTGTCGGGGTTAAAAAGGGTGATTTGGCTCCATCGATGTTTATGACCAATTTCTGGTAAAATGGTCTTGGGTCCTCTGTCGTTAGAGTGGATAAATAACCGGGATCAATACCCTTTACGTGCTTTCTCGCTCCGTCCATGTTGAATTAGTGTTTATTGTCGCCAACCAAAATAATTCCCAGCATGCAACGCGCGCTTTTGTCAACAATGAAACTGGCCTACTGTTGGGACATAACTTCTGATTACTTAAGAAAATGTAACTGAGTAAATGTAAGTGGGTACTGGACAAGTCTGACAAGCTGCTAAAGCGCTGCAGAAGTGTGTACTCTGGATCCCAGGTGAAGAACAGTGACAGATGTTGTCATGTTGTGTTGCCATGGTGACGTTCACATGTGAGTGGGATGTCCAGGCTCACGTGGAGGCACAGACACTGGATCTACTCTGGGTGTTCTGAGGTGGGGACAAGGGAAGGGTTGGTGCTGTGAGGACTCTGACAGCTGTGAGCAGAGGAGCTACCAGATCATTTACAATATGTTGTTTATGAAGAGAAAAGAGTTTTTATTTAAGTGGGCCAGTTCTGCAAAATCAACATTTCAGAGCTTTTGACCCTGTTATATTTATATCTCCTTCTCATTGACCCTCTGAAGTTGTATGTAGAATGATTCATGCATATTTGTGTTTTCTTTATTCTTCTGTGTTCAAGACTTCATTGTTCTGATCTAGCTCTGTTTTCAGCTCCACGGTGACACCCACTGTGACACATGTTCTTCACTTTTATTTTCTTAATTGTGATAGACATATAATGACACAGATTTGATTTAATTTAGAATTATTTAAAATCCTCTACTCACAAGTGTGGTGTGCAGCTATCCATAGGAGGGGTCCACAGCGTGCGGCGCTTTGTTCTGATGATGTTTATGGAGGTGTCAGCTCCCATTCACACAGCAATTTTATAAGAGTAACTCAGGCGACCTGGTTGTTTTATTAAAGAGACAGTCTGGAATTTTGGACATAGGGCCTCATTTCCATAGTGAGTCAGAGTGTTGGAGACGTGTGGAGACACTTTTTGAAATGTTCCATCCAGTCCTTGTATTTGCAGAGGTCGCTGGTGGAGACTAGTGCATGTCAATGGCCATAGTTCTCCTGCCACTAAAAACAGTCTTACCCACTCCACAAAACACCTGAAGAAAATCTATTATTACACCAGACTGTCCATGTGAATGTCTGTGTCGATAGAATAATGCTTGAAATAAAACTAACCTTGCATCACATGAATCGTTGAGGGGCTATTTTCTCAGCAGCAACAGAATTTTACTTTGCCTGTAAGATCAGTGTTAGGTGATATCAGTCCACCGCTGCTGAGCTTTCTATCAGGAAGTATAACTCACTGCTGCTCAGACAGAAATCCTTCAAATGCAAGGTTAGTTTTACTAATACTGATAATGATAATATAACTGCGTAACAGATTGTAAGTATATAGCAGACAAAAGCAACATATGTGCTCTTTAGGTTCATTGAAATACCTGTGGGTCTGTTTCTGTTAGTTTCCTTCAGAAGTCTCTTGGCCAACTGAATTGAATTTTCTTTTTCTCTTACCTGGCAGACTGCGGGATTACTCACTCAGACATGTGCCCTTTACCACTCCAGACTCTTGGACCTCACAGTCATGCAGCTCATGTGTAGTTCATGTGGTCCTCACTGCAGGCTGTTGGAACAGGCCTGCTCCTTCCTGCTTCTGGTCACTAATAATGGAACTAATGACTCTACTTCCTGTGACTTTGTGCCGGGTTCTACTGAAGGTCTTTTACTTCCACAGTCATCCTGCCTGTACACCTCAGTGCTCAGTGCTATGGGCCTCAGTGATGTGGACCTCAGTGATGTGGACCTCAGTGCTGTGGATCTTATGAATAACATGGACAGATGTGGGCCATTGTGACAGTAGCTGCTTGTTTTTCTAGGTTTATACAGAAATCTACTTCGCAAAACAATAACAAAGGCCAGGCTCAGGCAGACGTGCTTTTCATGTTCACTTTATTGAGTTGGAAGAAACAGTCTGATACTAAAGTCACAGAAACACTGACCACTGGTTCAATTGTTCAGAGCTCAGATTTCATGTCAGTCTTTGGCTCCTCTTCATCAGATAAACACCTCCTCTGCCTCACGTGACTCTACAGCCCGTATCTCTTTGTTCTTCCTCTGGGACAAATCTTCGAAACCGTGTCTGCACACGGCACTCACCATAATGATGCTATGATTCATGAAACATAACGGCGCTCTGGAGCAGTACAGACATGTGCACACAGACATGTGCACACAGACATGTGCTCACAGACATGTGCTCACAGACATGTGCACACAGACATGTGCACACAGACATGTGCTCACAGACATGTGCTCACAGACATGTGCACACAGACATGTGCACACAGACATGTGCACACAGACATGTGTCGATACACACATGTATTATTGTAAATGTATTACATTATTAGAACATTCAGTAGTTTCATGATTTGATTTTTACAAACGGCTAAAGTCCCACGTGTCTGGCCGTGAAACACTGCAGAGTGTTCTCCGTTACATTCACCGTCCCGCGGAGTGACAGAAACAAAAGCGCACAGTAAGCACAGCGACTCTCTGGTTTGGACACTCCACTTTACGCACATTACGCACAGACGCACAAGAGCGCATGGTTTAGTGACAGGTGTAATGCAGATGTATGATGTATGTATGACATGATATATGATATGATGTATGTATATATGATATAAATGTGTGCATTATGATATCCAACAGCACTTTAGGAGCGTTCGCCTAGCTCTCTGCGTAAATTACGCACGGCATTCTTCGTGCGTCCTGGTCCACTTTGACGCACCTAGCCCCGATGTACGAGCCCCCGGAGCTTCTCTCTGAACTCCTTCCTCGTGAGGCAGTAAATGACGGGGTTCAGGCAGCTGTTAGTGTGCGCGAGGCACACGGTCAGAGGGAACACGTACGTGTGCACCACGTAGTACGCCTTGTCGAAGTGTGCCGCGTTCAGCTTGACCAGCACGCTCCACAGAGTGATGGCGTGGTTGGGCATCCAGCACAAGAAGAAGGACAGCACCACGATGGTCACGGACCTGGTGACGCGCGACTGTCGCTTTGGGTTGACGCATTTCATGCTGCGGTCCCGGATGACCCGGAGCAGGAGCATGTAGCTGATGGACACGATGAACATGGGCAGCACGAAGCCCACGAGGATCTTCTGGATGTGGTAGAGCGCAAGCCAGTATTGCCCCCCGGGAAAGCGCAGCAGACACAGGTTCTCACCGGTCACGTTACTGACCGTGGAGAAGATGGGAGTGGGCGCCGTGGCCACGGTCGCCAAAGTCCAGATGAACGCGCACTGCCACTTGGCTGAGCACGAGCCGTGCGTCTTGGTGTTGTTGAGCGCCGTGGCCAGAGACCAGTAGCGCGTGAGGCTCATGGCCGTGAGGAAGAAGACGCTGGCGTACATGTTCATGACCGTCACGGACAGGACAATCCGGCACATGGCGTCTCCAAACGGCCAGCTGAAGTCCAGAGCCGTATCCACGGCCCAGAATGGCAGCGTCAGCACGAACTGCAGGTCCGTGAGCGCGAGGTTCAGAACAAACAGGTTTACGCGGGAAGTCTTCCGCTCATGCTTCACCCGTATGAAGAACAGCACAAGCAGGTTACCCACCAGCCCCGTGGCGCACACCACGCTGTACACGAGGCAGATGAGCAGGCGCAGGACGGGGCTGCCATCCGCGCTCACATCTATGTCCTCCAGGTCCAAGAAAAGCTCCAGACCGGACACGTTCAGAGCCGCGCTGCTGTTGTCCTCGTTCATGGTGACTCTGGTTTAGACCCAAAAGGCGAACACCTGTGCGTATCTTTACGCACCTGTGCGCACTGGCTCACGGGTTGTGTCTCATATCCTTGACTTGTCTCCAGCTCCACGACAGCTCCAGTCCAGTCCGTTCTCCGGTCTGATGCAGAGCGCACGATCCTGTCCTCTCATCAAATTCTCCGCGCGCACAAAAAACCCTGAGCGCGCGCTCTGGAGACGCTCTGTGCGTAAATGTCCATTAACTGGCAAATGTATTCGTACTCCGTTCCACTTTAAAATATGGACTTCTTCAACATGTAGGGAGGTCCACGTGTCGGAGACAGTGGAACACTGAAGGAGGAGAGGGAGAGACGAGAGCTTTATGCTGATGGATAGGTTCTACACACCGGGTCTCTGTCGCCACCTAGTGTTCAGTCTAGACTGTGAAACGTCGCCATCTCCTCACATTTACATAAAAACACAGGACACCGTGAACACTAACATCTCCTGAACACATGAACACACCTCTGAGGGTCATATCCTCTGCATTTGATCCATCTGTCAGCACTGGGGCACCCTGTCAGGAGCAGGGACCCACCTTCTGATCCTGAGCCGGGCTTTGTCAGGAGTAGAATCCTCCAGAACTGGGTCAGACGATTCTGCTCTCAAGACAATAACCTAAAGACTTAAAAGTGTAACAAGAACCCTTGAAACTAATTTTTATTTTTTTTTTGGAAAATGATATTTAGGTAAAACAACAACAACAACAACAACAGATAAAACAAGAATAATTTAACAATTTAAATCAATAAGGAGCCAAAATACAATAACAATAGAAAAGTTGTTCCATATATATATATTTTTTTAATCTGCATAAAATTAAATTAAAAATTGAAAAGTTTAAAACTGCTCAGTATGCCAGACAGTCAGCCACAAGAGCAGCCAGTCACTGCCATGATGAGATTCTTAAGGTATTAGTTAACTGTGTTTATCTGATCACTAAAATACTGTCAGTGTCTGAACATTAATATTTGCTGTAAGTACATGTGCTGGTTGGACTAATCAGTCTCCATGGAGGATACAGCACGCAGGAGTCAGTTAACTTAAACTCCCTGTATTTAGGGAGTCCCTCTTGCTCCATCTGGGAGTTTGATATCATCACATCTGAAGGAGTGAAAAGCACCAGAGCAGCGGACATCATGACTCTACACTGAAATGAAGGAGACCAGAGTTAACAGAATGCATTTATTACATCTAAACTTTTCTACACAAACGGTAACATTCAAGAAGTAAACAATGTCTTCCAATGCAACGTAATAAATATTTGTCACTTGTTTTTTACAAACTCACTGTACACGTCCCGCCCCCTCTCCACATCTGACCAATGGTGAATATCTTAAGGCAGTGAGCTGTGGTCCAACTCCCACAAGAACAACCAACAATGTTTCAGAGTCCACAGTCTGTCGTTTTCATCAAACAACTTTCTTTTTCTAAAAATATATAAAATTATTGACACACAGATTTGGGCTTTGTGGTACTTTGTGTGTATCCCTCCATTTATGCAATGGATAAACAGTGATAAACACATCACTCCTTTTACATTTCTACTTACAGCCAGGTATTGTGATACAAACACCTGGCTGAAGGGGCGGAGTTTGAAGTGCGAACACCTGTCAGCCCAATCACACTGTTCCCTCTACCTCCAGACCCCATGAACACGACTCCCACACCTCACTGTATGCTCTGAATCATGTACATGGACGTTCTTTAGTATGAAAAAGTACAGTGAACTGTTGAATCAGAAACACTATTTCAATGGGCACAATAATTGCCTATAATTAATATAAAGGCCCCTCCATAGAACTAAAAGTGCTTGCGTCCTCATGGGGTGTTACTCTGTGTAAAAGCTGCTCTCCCTGTGGTTTCCACTCTACACACATGTTCTGAAATACATGGGAGTCTTTGTTTAGCAGCTCATGGTTTATTCTCGTGTTCATGTGTTTACAAAGGGAAGTGTGGATTTGGGGGGGGGTGACGTCTGTGCGGTATTGACTGTAACACAACATATTTAGATCACCATGTTGCCTTTAAGTGTTTTGAAAATGCTATTTTTGCCCAAACCAATGTATTAACATGTTTATAAATCTCACTTTTGTTTTTGATAGTCTGAGTCTCAAACTCCAGAGTCACTCCCCCTTAAGAGTGCTATCACAACACAATCCACATGCGTCCCGCTAATCAAACCACTGCACATCACATCAGGTTTGTCAAGTTAGAATCCTGTGTTTGTATATTTATGGAGAGCTGTCGTGTGGCAGGATGGGTGATGTAGGCTTGTGGGCGGAGTCTTGTACAGAATCTTACAGCTAACTATAAGGAGGGTTTGAATAGTGCCCAGGAGAGATCACTAGATTACTCAAACATGCATGGATACAACTCAAACCTCTTCAGGCATGTTTTTGATGAGGGAACATTATAACAAGGTAGAAACTCTAAAAAACAATTTTGACATGGATGAAAAGATAAATTATGACAATTAAGTAGGGAATTGAAATGAAAAATTGAAATAAGACCATTGTAAATGAACACAATGCAGTAGACAGATCCTAACGGGGTCACAGACTGTATAAAGAAGTGGACTAGAGGAGGGTAACATCACTCACAGCATTTGGCTCCAGTCTTTTAAACCTCACTGAGGCTAGAGGTTCTAGGGGCAAATTTGGAGCAGAATTCCATATTTGGAATTCCGACCACGAGTATCATAGCAACCAAAGAGCCAGGGAGAGGGCGCTTAGCAACGCTGTCAATCTAACCCGCTGTTAGCACTAGTGGGAGCGACTTCATGGAAGAAGGTGTCTGATTTGTCTGTTGTTAATGTTCATATCTTGATTTATGCACAAAATAGCAAAATGAAGTGAACTGGAGCCATTGTTGATGGAGCCCAAAAGTGTGTCCATCTTCACTTCCAGTTTGGACAATGGTGGCAAGTGGGTGAACTATGTCCATTTTTATATACAGTCTGTGGGTGGGGGTCAGGACGAGGGGTCAGCAGGCCGCGCATGTCTCCTAGAGAATCAGGCTGTCTCACACCACTGGAATCACTGGGTTTTATTACAGTTTGGTTTTACACATTGAAACAGCTCTTTTAAACAGCTCTTGTGTCACTGTTGGAGGCTTTGTGATTCTCAATACAGAGTTTTTAAATGCTGCATTCATGAGTTAGGACAGCGTGTTACTGACCATGTGTCTTATCTCTGCACAGGATACATTTATTCTAAATCAGCCGACACGAAGAAGCACTCAAGAGACACACATCTTACTTTAGAAACCAAGGACCAACAGAAGAATGTGACACTAAAGGTTTACAGACTCATCACTAAAGGAGCATTCTTGTTCAAATGTGATCAAGTGGACAGTACATTTACATTTTCAAATTTGGATGTAAATACCAGTTTAAATGTAAAAATGTAATTTTAAAAGTTTAAAAGGTAGAACTAGTTCCACTTCCAGAATTCCATCTCCAGTGCCACTTTTGCCTCTTCATCTAATTGAGTACACACTATAATATAAACACAAGCATTGGCCTGCACGTCACACTAAGGAGTCACAGATTTATTTTCTTTTAAGACAAAATGATGCAATGCTGCAGAATCCTACATGTATCACCCAGTAAGAAAATCAAACTTGTCACTGTGGGTGTGTCAGTGCGGGTGTGTCAGTGCGGGTGTGTCAGTGTGGGTGTGTCAGTGTGGGTGTGTACTGGTGGCGGTGAAAATGGAGACTGATAATATGTAAATGAGAAGCAAACAACTATCACATGGTTAAAAGGTCTGAAAAGTCAATTTGGCATAGTACAAATGCTTCAATAAAATTCACCAAAATCTTCAAATTAGACAAAATCTTATATCATTAGGCAAATTTTAATGTGAAATGCGTAATATCTGCCAGACTCTGGGCAAGTAAAATGCTTCTAAACAACTTCCATGTTTTATAAGAAAGTACTGTTATTAAATGAATGAATGAAATGAAGATCACATTTGAACAGTCACTTGATTTGAGTGACAGTCTTTCTGTGTCTCCTGACTGTGGCCCTTCAGTGCTTCTGTACAACATGGAACACTGTACAATACATTCACAAGAGAACCCTGCTGTGGTGAACAGGGAGCAGCACAGGCAGAGAGCGCCCCCTGTAGACGCCCTGTGTGCACTGCACTGGCTCCGCGTGGTACCCCCTCCCATGGCCTGTCTCTGGGCACTGTCCGCCTGCACTTCTTTGGGCTTGAGGAGGGACGGGACTAGGCCTGCCACGAGAAAAACTTATACTTCAAAGTATTATTCAATAAATGACAGAACAACTAAATGTGTATGTGTAAACCTTTAGTACTACTGAGTACGTGTATACCATATGTACTGTGTTAGCATTTAAGATGAAGAGTTGAATGAATTACCGTCTCTTACTCATTATAAACACCACGAGCCACAAGTGGGGCTCCAGTTCTGAAGGCAATGATTTTGGACAACACTTATGTCTCATATTTTGTGCATATACAATTTTAAGTAAATATTTTTTGTTATAATTTGGTGCAGTATTCCAAGTAAAATGTAACACAGTTTATTTGCCAACTACATTCTGCCCCAGCTCCACTGGCCCCTGGGGAGCCAATCAGATTTCAGAGCTGTGTTGTCTGGCCACTCCCTAAACACTCCTGCCTTCACCTCAGCGAGTTTATGAGTGTGTTTTAAAAGGATTCAGAGCAAAGAGCAAACTAGGTGTCACGCAGCAACTAGCATGCAAACAGCACACCTGATTTGTGGCAGATATAGCCATGTTTAATTACACACATACAGCACATAGTGGTCTGATTCTGACCCAAGAGCTACTTCTACAAGACGTGTACTGGAGAAAAAATATGGACAGAAATGAGGTACAAGTGATATTATCTGTGGAAATATTCACTTCAGAATGTGACAGAGTGACAGTGTTCTCGTGACAGGCCTAGTGGAGACACACAGTTTAAGACATTCCTGTAGTTTTGGCCCGGTGTAGGCACTCCCCCTTGTGGCTGTGCAGGCCTCCTACACCCTCCCAACATTTAGGACACGTGGCACACTACTGCACTACAGCTTACATATCAACATTTTTGGCATTGTGCAAAAAATAAAACAGAATAAACAATAAATGGTTTCAGCTGGAATAAACACCTTCAAACTGATTCTGCTCGTAGCTACGGTGGCCCAAGATGTGCAAAACTAATTGGCAAAAAACAAATACTGTCTGTTGGAAAGAGTTGTGAAAACAATATCACCGTCAATTTTTTTATTTCTATACATTTTTCTCCAGAGGTGGGTAGAGTAGCCGTAATTATACTCCATTAAAAGTAATGTTACTTCAAAATGATTTCCCTGTGCAGCTATAACCACACACTTTGACAAAACGTTACAAAGACAAGGGGCTCTGCAGCTGTGTCCTGACTCCCTGATTTCAGAGGCCGTGACTGACACAATCGACACTCGAAATACCAAACTATAGTTTATCTCAGGTAAAAGAAACTATTTATTTTGTTCTAAACGTTACAATAATTTACAAGAGGTGATGCGTTCTGCATCTGAGAGACTTTTGATACAAATGAACAGCTGTGTTTGGATCGTCTCAAGGTTTGGATGGAGGTTTTTTTACTCTCTGTGGTCCGATTCCAGACTCTTCTGGATTCTGGAATCCTTCTGGATCAGAATGTAGAAGGGACTCACTGCTCAGGCAACAAACTAATATCACTCAAGTAGAAGTACAAAGTAGTGGTCTAAGAAATTACTTAAGTATAACTAAAAAAGAATTTGGGAAAACTACTACGCACATAAGAGTAACTTAAAGAGTAACTGTCGGGACATAACATCTGATATATAATTTGAAGTTAAAGTAATTCTAAGGAAAAAACATGAAATAATGCACAAAATCTGTATTTTCAAAGGACAGGCACAAAATGAGACAAACTAAATATTATCTGAAGGAGCTGCAAGAAACACAAATGTTCCAAATCATTTCTTATTGTCACATAAAGCTTTTGTTACTTTAGACTCACTCACAGTGGGAAGAGGAACCCAAATCTACTTGGTACTACAGTACTAAATGTATCAAATGAATACTAAAACTATTACTTCAATGAAACTATTACTCAAGCAAGAGTAAAAGTATTCTATGACAAAAGTACTATCACTTTAAAAAGTTAGTACTACCCACCTCTGATTTTTTATACAATCATTTGGATCTAGCGGGGAACACAAACAAACCTCCAGATAGTCTTCTGAAATAGTTTCAGTTGTGATGTTCTGTTAAATGAACATAACAGAGTAAGTGATAACATTTGAATTTTTAAGTAGAAATAAATGTACACACCAACACTTCTTTGTGCATACATTATAAAGCTGTTCACATGGACTCGGTTTTGTACTTCTTGGCCATTGCGTTAAAATCTTGCAAAACTGTAAAAAAAAAATCTAACTAAAACAAAATGGCTAAACTCCACTTACACACTCCCATAGCAAGAACCTGGACACCTATGGGAATGCATAAATATATATATATATATAGATATAGCTGTTTAAATATTATAAATAACTTAATAGCATAAACAAAATCATACACTGAAAGCTCCAGGAGGGGAGAAAAAATCTTGTACATGGCAACCGGCGAATGTACAGTCCAAGCCTTGAGTGGGTGAAAGCTGTTCGTAAAGCAGCACTAGACTGTGGTCGGCGTCGGCGTACAAAAGTAGGAGGAAAATAGATTTTGTTCTCTGTACACAGTGCCCCCTTTCGTAACAAAAGGTCATTACATGTTTTGTGCCACATCGGTACCGGTTCTGCGGTTCTGTGCACAAGCCTCCCTCCTCCCCAGACTTCATAAACTGGGGCTAGTCCGGCCTCATGGTGCTCCTAGACAGTCTGTAGCCAAAAGGTTTACCCTGCGGATCTCCAGAACAGTCATTTCTTTAGGTCTAAACTGTTTCTTAGTCAGTCTAACGATATGATGTCTGGTATTCCTCCGTATATCGCTGCCAGAGCCGCTTCGCTGCTGGCGCGGCTGGCTAGCACCCCTGGGTGATGTGTGATGTGTGAGGAGGCGTGTGAGGGAGGGTGCGAATTCAGATGCGGGTCCCTTAGCTGGCTGTTGTGGTGGTTGTGGTTGCTGTTGTGGTTGCTGTTGTGGGTGCTGCTGTGGGTGCTGCTATGGGTACTGTTGTGGGTGCTGCTATGGGTGTTGTTGTGGGTGCTGCTGTGGGTGCTGCTGTGGGTGCTGCTGTGGGTTGTTGTGGGTGCTGCTGTGGGTGCTGCTGTGGGTGCTGCTGTGGGTGCTGGACGAGCTGCTGCTGCTGCTGACGCCGTTGGTGGGCGTGGTCAGCGAGGGGACGGAGCTGGCCCCCGATTGGTTGAGGTACATGTGGGAGTGGCCTGAGGAGGAAGTGGTGTAGGGCAGAAAGCGGTTGAGAAGGAGCTCGTGGTCATCGGAGGCGGAGGCAGCGGCGGCGGCAGCCATGACCATGTTGTAATGCTGATGACAGGAGCAGGGAAAAAAAAAAAAAAAAACAGAATTACTGCATGTATATTTTCAGTATGTCACAAAAAACAGCCTAATATATCCAAGAAGTGAAGACCATGCTGTACGCGATGAGAAAACAGAATATTCAGTGCATTCAAAATTCTAGTGACATTACTGTATTTTTCGGATTATAAAGTGCACTGGATTATAAGGCGCATTAAGAGAAACAAACAGACAACACTTGAGACCGATTTTTAGTCCAGGCGTCCACGATCCATCAGCAGATCATGGCGTAATTCGCCCGGTGTTGCCTCCCTGTCTTGGTGAATGTGTGTTATGAAAGTGAATGTGGGTGGATCATTTAAGCTTTTTTTTTTTTTTTTTTTTTTTTTTATTCCTGCGAGGATGGCTCAAATATACATTGAGTAATAATGTGTTTAATGCAGCTTTGACACATTTTACGTGTTACAGAAAGGAAACTTAAAACCACATGGCTCATTTGCATAAACTATAAGTGCCGAAGAAACAACTCGCTCCTTGTGTGCTGATGTGGCAGCAGTGTGCGATGAGTCGATGCAAAACTGTACTTTGCCCTTTAGTCCGTGAGACTCCTGACTGTAGTAGCCATAATGCTCTGACAATCCATCAAGCAGTGCAGCTTCATAGTTTACCAAAGTCATACTAAAACATTTTGACAGATTTTTGAGCACCTTGTACCACATAAAATCTGTTTGAGGTCAGTAAGCACATCCCGAATTACTACATAAGGCACACCAGATTATAAGGAGCACTGTTGATTTTTGAGAAAATTAAAGGATTTTAAAAATATGGTATAATAAATGCCTTCAAAGTGAAGATGATCTGGATAAAGTAGTTCATGATCACTGTAGTACATGACATGAAACAAAAGCTTTGGACAAGTGTGGTGATGATTTATCAAATTAAAAACACAGACTTTCTACCTGTGGTGCAACAATCCTAGGAAAATTTAAACCTTGTTTATTCTAAGTCTGAGAGACAAAGGACTTATGTGGGAGTTAGCATGGGAATCATGGAAATAAACAGGGAATGAACACTAGTGAAACTTGTCTTTAGTAGGAGTGATGCACAGAAACATAACCTCATTTTATAGAAATAAACTGAGATATTTGTGCTGTCACATTAGAAACAGCAACAGCCTCAAAAAACTTCACCAATGAGGAAGACATTTTGGGCATTTGATTATTGGGAGTGACTTCACAGAGGTATAGACAAGGCGCAGTGCAAAAAGGTGTTTAGAGCATATGACCTGTTCCATAGCACATGCATAGTGTTGAAAGATACTTTTACAGAACGGTCTTTTGTGTAAGAAGACTACATCTTTTTTATACTGAAAATTTAATGGAAAAAAATACATAATATAGGTCAAATTTCTAAAACTCCCCACTGTATAATTGGCCTAAATTCTAAAAAGAGACAATCAAGTCCCCGTGGATTGTGGATTGTCTAACAATGGTGGGGATCTTCTCTGTGTGTAAATGTGTCCAGTAGATGATCCAGAGCCACACAGTTACTGCAGTTAGTGCTCAAGCATCCGCACCATGTGTAAATCCACGCTATTCCTTTTAGTAATGTAATAATCAGAGCGTAGAGGTCCAGTACAATGGTGGTATTCACAGTAGTTAGTCAGATGTGTCATAGGCCTCTGAGATGTTTTTTTTTTTTTTTTTTACAGATCATCAGAAATGTGCTCAAACATGTCTGTAAATATCTTGGTCAAGTTTCAACTATTGTGCAAAAATTTGAATGTAGTGTAAAACAAAACACCACCACACAGAAATATCCCCAACACCTTCATTTTGTGTCATGTTTATTACAGATGAAGGTACAAGATTACTCTGAAACTATTCTGAAGGTGCACATTTTGAATGATGAACAGACTGCAAACTAAGAGCTATTGTGTACTTGTAAAACAACCCAAAACAACACTATTCACTACACACTCAGATCAGATATCATCCTAACTCTACTGTGATGCTAGGACTTGTCTTTGGAGGGGCTGTGGGTGGAGAATGCTGCTACTGCTGCTGGTGCACAGTAGAGGGGGCAGTTACCTGATGATTGTCGCCTTGAAGAAAAGAGAAGAAGCTCAATTCTGCACAAACACAAAAGGAAGAGTCAGTTTCATCACAAAGAAACACACACAGTTTAAGAGAGGACACATCTGGAACGTTGTAAAAGGACATTCATTTCTGTAACAAGTTTTTAAGAGTGTATATGTCTGGCTGCTCATCCTAGAGACTTTTTCAGTTCTGTTCTGGTAACTCACCACCTTATATCAGTCTGAGGGGAGGAGCTAACTAAACTTAAAGCTGACACACCCTAGTTACAGTTACAGTTACAGTTACAGTTACAGTGAGGAGGATCTGTGATTAGTCCACTTTGGCAAGGTCTTCCTCTGACTCGCATCTAACAACAAACTGCTTTGTCAAAGAAAAACCAACAGCTCATTTCACAAAAACATTTCACAAAGGACACAAGTAAGGACTTCGAGGTTGGTTAAAATCCCATGATATGATGTTAAAAACTGAGCTTAAAAAAAAACAATGTTTCAACTGATGAGTGGATGAATACCAAAATATCAACCGATCAATAGTGACTGAGGTATCAAGAAGGATTGATTCTCATAAAAAACATGATATGGATATTTAAAATAGACTTTTGAGTTACGTTGTTTAGAATGCTGGTACCTGATTGGTCACTGGGCTGTGTGGTGATACCTGATTGGTCACTGGGCTGTGTGGTGATACCTGATTGGTCACTGAGCTGTGTGCTGGTACCTGATTGGTCATTGGACTGTGTGCTGGTACCTGATAGGTCATTGGGCGTGTGGTAGTATGGCCGGTAGTCTTGGATGAGGGGGGGCACTGGGGGCACGTAGCCCGTCTCCACAGTGGGCATGCTGGGTGTACGGCTCACAGGGGATGCCTGGTGGTGCAGGTTCAACACTCTGTACACATATGAAGAAGCAGACACTATTTTTAGCATTTGCGCAGGTATGAAATATTCATGTTTCATAAGCAGGGTGTTCAGACTGCAACTTTTAAATGAGAACATCTGGGCTGTCAGAATGTGCTTAAAGATGGGGTATTATGCTAAATAGACTTTGTGGAGCTTTCTACCTTGTTGTAACGTTGTTCCCTCATCAAAAACATGCCATGGAAAAGAGGTTTTAGATGTCATCCGTGCATGTCTGAGTATTTTAGTGATGAATATAGCATTCAAAACAATACAATCTAACGTGACAATTTAAATAGGTTGTAGCAATCAATACAACAAAGAAGTGTAATACCTGTTTTTTAAAAGACAGATTATGTAAAATAGACTTTTGTGACCTGCTGAGACAAGCCTCCATCCCGAGTCTTTACCCAGCCACCATACAGTAATCAGTCCATTACATCATTCATCAGTGAATATCTTAATTGCATATTACAGTTGAGGTGTGCTCCTTGAAACTGAACTGAATTTCATTCTTTTAATTAACTCATAGAAAGTTTTTTTTAAACAAATTTCTTGTCCATAATACAAGAAAAAAAGTATAAATGTGTACTGACCCTTTGTTGATGACAGGGGGCGACGTTGGGGACAGAGAAGGGCAGGCTCTCTTGATGGGTGGAGGCTGCGTGTGGGGCTGTGTCTGAGCCTGGTGCTGCGGCTGCGGAGGAGCGGCCGGTGCAGAGACAGGGGCGGGGACAGGTGCAGGGGCCGGAGCGGGGGCAGAGACAGGTGCGGGGGCCGGGGCGGGGGAGTCCGGGCCCTCGTCCTCAGAGGAGCTGTCCAGGGTCAGGTCGATCACCTCCACCCTCTTACTGCTGCTGCTGTGGTTGTGGTTGGAAAGGGCTGAGGAGGACGAGGAGGAGCTGTGGTGCTCTGACGATGAAGAGGTCCGACACGAGCCTGGGAGGAGGAGGATGAGGAGGAAGAGGAGGAGGAGGAGGAAGAGGAGGAGGTAAAGGGGAGGAGGAGGAAGAGGAGGACCATGGTTAATAAAACCATGTCACTGAAGAGATTATTATTACTAGGTCACGATAATTACTGTATTGATTTTTGTTCCATCAGTGCTAAGTGGAACAATAAAATATGGGGGTTGGTAATCACCCGTTATGATTAATCCTTCAGTCTGCCCCAGGGCGGCTGTGGCTACAATAGTAGTTTCAAATGAATCAGAAAACACACACCAAAGTTCTTGTAGAGGAGCAAATGCAAGGAACAGTAAAATAAAAGTGAAAAAATGCATAACACACTCAGACAGCTGATGTCCAAAAGCTTTTTAAAAAATTTTTTAAATAAACGTTTGGGCAGAAAAGCCTTGGTCAGATCATTTTTCTTGCTTTGGACCACAGTATACAATAGCAGCTTACCACCACTTAGTGTGGAGTGAATGAGTAATGTTCTGTAAACAGCTTTGGGTGTCATGAGAGGCATCATATAAATACAATGATAAATTAATTAAATTCATTCATTCATTATTGTGGGTTTGTTTTTGGGTTTTAGTTCATTTTTTTGTAATATAATAAGATTTCAAGTGTAGAGGTTTGAATAACTTTCATCTATTGCTCATTTGCAAACTACATACTGTGTTTCATACTACTATTGATTTATTACAGCTTATGTTTCTAACCAGATTGTACTAATCTAACTAACTAACATGAACTGTCCCGACACTGTGAGCGTTGTCCATTCCAGTCTAGTGCAGCTCAGTCTGCTACGCTGACTGTTCTGAGTACAGCCCAGCAGCGCAGTTTCACTTATCAGTAACAGAAATAATCAGGGTCAATATTTGTGAATTTACCTTTTGGATATTTCATGTCAAAGTACAAAGTAATCGATAGGAAAAAACTGGACCCACCTGTATGACATCATCACATTCTAGAATCTGAAACCACCTATAATCTGTATTCACATTACGTCACAAACCAAGAAGACGTTTGGAAACATATGATGACAACTTCCGGTTTAGATTCCGACACTGGATTCGACCGACTGTGATCAAACCCTCTGAGGTAAATGTGATCAGCGGTAAAATGAAGACTGCAGACGTATGCGCTGTTTGGAATCTGGAATTCTGGGCCTCAGTGCACTCGAACTTGTGTGTCAGTGGGGAAATGATGAAAACTGAGGGATGGTTGGAATTGCTGATTCGCCGAACAGAACGGAACACTACAATGATATGGAGATGAAGAAAACTGGGACGTTTTCTCATTTTCCTAGATTTATTCAGACTTACTACTGCGAACAGAACCCAAAGGAAGTTGTCATCGTATCTTTCCAAACGTCTTCCTGGTTTGTGACGTAAGCGTGAATACAGCCTATTGTGTCTGTGGGAATAAATTTGTTTCAGTATTTAATGTTTATTGTCTATATTTTCAACACATCGCCTTCAAAACTGGGAGTGATGACGGGACTAAAGTGTTCAGAGGAATGGCTTGATTGTCTGTGGTAAAAGTCAGGTATTCTCGGATTTTCTGAGTCCACATTTGACTTGGATATTTGCAGCTCTTTGTGCGCTCGTGAGGTGGGATTATTGAACTTTCTGTCCATGCCAAAATTATGCATCTGATTTAAAATTGAACATAGTGGTGCTCACTTAGAAGGAGGTTCAGGTTTCAAATGTATGGCCGGATTTCAACTGACATCACTACATTTCATCATTGCACAGGGATCGGGGCACGTCACATGACAATCGTTCAAACGCACACAGTCATTCATTAATCTACTTCGGTAGTTTATGGAAAGGGAAATAGAACTAATCACATTCCCCCTTCTGGGAGTATGACATCCTCACATTCAAAAATCTGAAAAACGATATAACAATTATAACGCAGAAAATAAGTTAAAAATGGAAGGTAAAGCGAGAATTCCTATTTTGCCTGTATCTTGTTGAAATGTCCACGTTCCCTTCCTTTGCAGCGTTGTATGGGGTTACTATGGGAACAGACGTTGACCGTGTGCTATGCTAAATGATGGCTCAACAAATTTAAAGTGACAGGCATAAACAAAGGAGGGGCCACGAAAATGCTTCTCTTTAATCTGAACTTCATTAGCAGCTCTCCGTACTCCCTCCTGTCTCCCCCTCCCCCATATCCCGACCTCCCCGCTGTCTGTCCCTCCCTCTCCCGTCTCCCCTCCTTCCGTCCCTCTACTCCCTCCGTCTTACCGTCCAGGCCGTTGTAGGAGGCGGCCGACACCTCCTGCACTTCCTTCTTTGCCCTCATGGGGGCCCAGCTGCCGTCCTCCTTGAACTGAATCTCGTCACAGTCGGTGCAGTTGTTGAGGATCTCCACAAAGAGCCTGCGAGGAGGAGGAGGAGGAGGAGAGCAAGGGGACGGGGAGGAGATGAACAGGAGGGGGAGGAGAGGAGGAGGAGCGCAACAATGTGAGAGAACGCAAGGATAAGTGGGTGTAATTATGATAATAGTAGAACAATTAAAGAGTTTTAGAAGAAACAATGGCACATCCTGTATTTTTCAGGTTTTAAGAAATTCAAATTCTTCCTTTAATGTTACACAGAATGCAGTCTAGAGGCCAGTGGCAGCTCACACTGTGGGGTGATGCAGTCCAAATAAGTCTAAAAACAATAGCTGCCAGACAGTGGTCATTTTGACAACCAGTTTTCATTGAAACTTAGTTCTTTGATTTAGCTTTTGTTTAGTCTCGTCCTGTTCATTTAGTCTACTCTGTTTCATTCAGTTAACCAAAAATGTATATATTTATCCAAGAGCCCATATTACTGTTAACAGACAAATTGTGCATGAACAAAACACTCTGATCCACCTTGTGATGTCATGTGGTAATTAGAAAGTGCTCCACTGAGTTTTTTCAACTCTTTCACCTGCACAAGAATCATTTGGATTATTTCAACCCTAGAACTGACAATCTCCATCAAACAAAAGGTAAAAGGAGCTGTTCACTTCATGACATCACGACATGGAACAGAGCATTTTGAGCTTTAGAGATGCAGACAGACTAATAATAAAGGGTTACGCAAACGTGTGAATGAAACAAGGTTTTTGATGAGGAGGCAAGTTTTAACACGATTTAAAGTTCATAAATCAATGTTGCATAATGAAGGACCATTACATTTATGATAATCAATTACTGACAGGGATGTAACAATAACTGAAATATCGTGATATTGTATCGTCAAAGTTCTCACAATAATATCGTGGACCATCACAATATATCATTTACAATTACAAGTCTCTTTGCTTTAATTAAGAGTTATGGTGCCGCAACAGCTAAAAAAAAAACACAGAGTGAACTACACAGACCATGATACTTTGCTCCATTTCAAGAAATAACTGTTATAAGCACTTTTAAATCTCAGTTCTTTGGATTGAGTCTTGTCGAGGCATTTTAAGAGGAAAAAGGAGCATATTCACAGTTTTGTCAGTCTCCATAAAATATCACAATAAATATCGTATTGTGAGATGTATATCGTGAAAATATCGTACTGTGAGATTTGGATATTGTTACATCTCTAATCGTGAGCGTCCCCACTTTATCATAAGGTTTCCCACAATATCACAATAAATATCGTACGATGAGGTTCATACAGTGAAGATATCGTATTGTGAGCCTTGGATATCGTTACACCCCTAATTACTGATTATTAAATTATCTCAGTGCAAGAAATGTGAGCGCTGAAATGATCAAATGAGGCTGGTGAAGATGAGTGGGAAACTAATAATACAAGGTGAGCTAACAGTTTTGACGTCTGGAGAAGGGAATGAATGTTTAAAGGGATTTTAAATGCAAGATTAACACTTATACTGACAATAATCACACAAACAGAAATTACATTTTTGGTAAGAACGACTGAACATGTCCAAACAAAGCTGGAGATAAATCATGGCTGATTGCAGAAAAGCAGATGTTTCAGACAGATAGGGCCATAACTCACAGATGATCACATGTGAATCAAACTCCACTCGTTTTTATGATCAGTTTTATCCCCACAGCAAGTTCCAGCTCGACTTCACCCAGAGGACGTCCCTCATCTCCCACAGGCAGCCGTCACTGTCTCTCACCAGTGTGTGTCTCATCAGTGTGTCTCTCACCAGTGTGTGTCTCATCAGTGTGTCTCTCACCAGTGTGTGTCTCATCAGTGTGTCTCTCACCAGTGTGTGTCTCATCAGTGTGTCTCTCACCAGTGTGTGTCTCATCAGTGTGTCTCTCACCAGTGTGTGTCTCATCAGTGTGTCTCTCACCAGTGTGTGTCTCATCAGTGTGTCTCTCACCAGTGTGTCTCACCAGTGTGTCTCTCACCAGTGTGTCTCTCACCAGTGTGTCTCTACCAGTGTGTCTCTCACCAGTGTGTCTCTACCAGTGTGTCTCTACCAGTGTGTCTCTACCAGTGTGTCTCTACCAGTGTGTCTCTACCAGTGTGTCTCTACCAGTGTGTCTCTCACCAGTGCAGGATTTGGACGTTTGTTAGTCAAATGTGTGGAGACCTCAAAGATGGCTCATTTCCAGTTGCGTAAGAAGGTGCAGTGAATCTTTGGTGGTGTTTCCTTGCTTAACTCATGAAGATGTTATTGCTTTGCTTCTAATGTTCCTCAGTATGGCATTAAGGATAAAATCTTGCATTTGTTCAAATACAATTTTTTTTATTCCAAAAAAACAACACATTGTGGAACATTCCCCTTTACTGCCTCAGACCCTTCCCCCCTCCATCTCCCCTCTGTCTCCCCTTTGGTCCTCCAGGCCCCGGGCCTCCTCCCCCCTCACTCTCCCCTTTAGTCCTGAACATGACCATGCGTGTGTGCAGCCTCACCCGTCGATGATGAGGTGCCCGTAGGGCGCCTTCTTGTCACACACGGGGCACACCCAGGTGGGCTTCTTCTCGTTCATCTGGAGGTAGAGCGTGGCGTCGAAGCACTGCAGGTGAGAGCACGTGAGCGCCCGGCACGGCACCGTCAAACGCATCTTCCCTAACTGTAGAACAACACAACACAGGTCAGAGTACTGCCCCCTGGAGGCCACTCACACTCACAGGTGGAATAGACAGAGAATGTGACACAAGAAATATTGATAAACTAAAGTCAGGAACATTTTGTTTGACTAGCGTTACAATGATAAAATTTCAAACTTGGTCTCAATACTACGTAAAAAAGCTTGAAACTTCCACAATGACAGGGAAAAAAACTAAACAAAAAAAAATTAGCACAATAGAATGAAATTTTCAGCACAGAATAAAAGTGCATTTTTTAAGTTACCGTGTGGTTTTATACTGGTGTTTTTAAAGTTCAAGTTGCTCTAAAACTGTTAACATTGTTTTACATTTTGCTCATATTAATCCATAACAGCTTAATAACACAAACTGGTCCATTGACTTCCTGTTCAAAATTGCAGAATTGAAAAACCCCATCTCCTGATCTTAGAGTCTTCATTTTATTTAAAAAAATAATAATAATAATACTAAGAACAGGGAAGTGAGCAGGGATAAGTGCTAAGCTTCAAATACAGGACATTACAGGATTACTCAAACATGCATGAATCAATCCAAATAAAAGTTTGAGTAAGATCATGATGACTGATCACTGCTATAACACTGTGGTAACATGCACACTCTAACTCTCATTGTTACCATAGTTACAAGATTATTTAAATTAAGTGTAATCAGCAAAATCATCTCATTTCTTTCTGATCGTGATCTCTGATCACTCACATGGGAGTTTGCAGTTTGAATATCATTTAAGTCATCTTAAATGCCCAGAAATCCTCTCATAATCAGATTTCAGTGTGCGTGTGGACAAAGTCATTACAAAGTTTGCAAAATATGTGCCCATTCATTTACACTGATTTAATGTGGATTTTGTTTGTGTTTCAATAAAAGGCCATACATTCGTGCAATAGCTGGGTTTCACATGACGTCACAGGGCTCCGTTTGTCAGCACAAAATCAGATGGAGGGCAGGAAGTGAACTGACTGGAGGAAAATGCCGATGTGTTGTGTAGTTTACGGCTGTGCCAACTGTTCTAAACGAGAGAAGAAAAGCGATTTTTTTAGAGTACCGAATATAGTCGTCCACAAAGGTCAGAATTGGGAAAAGCCGACAGAACAACGCCGTAAAAAGTGGATTACAAACCTGTTTGCGGTCAGGAGGAGCAGAATTCGCTAATGCTCGTGTCTGCAGTGACCACATCGTCAAAGGTTTGTTACAAAGATAAATAGTTTATTGTGGTTTACCTAAACATAAACGAATCATTAACGACTAACGGCGAACAACGTTTGTTGACATTAAATAGTTCAGATAGAGGTTAGTGCCGATACACTGCAGTCTTTCCCATAACAGTTTATACACATAAAATAAGAGAAACACTCACCCCGGCGAAGACCAAACGATAATCATCATTTAGGCGTTTTAGCACCGAGGTTGAGGACCCATCCACTCACAAAAAAAGTTCTATGCCTCCAAACTTTTGTACATCTTCATCTGTTGTCTGGTGTAAAACGATGTCTGAAGAGCTAAAGAGTTGGTGATCTCCTCTGCCTCGATTGTCAGCAAATCTTTTACTTCAGTTGAAAATTCTCTCATTTTCAATAAGATGGGGTCACGCCCAATATATTTGTCAACTAACTGCTCGTACTTTTGCCTCGCTACTGGCTCTAAATCCTGACAATAAGAACTCTTCTCCATATCTGTGTTCTCCAGAGCCGTGTTTGTCGTGTTTGTCTTCACTTCCTGCCCTCCACCTGAAATTCGCGCATCATCGTGATCACGTGACTGAAACCCTCCTATTATATTAATCGCATTCCCTAGAAATAGCTCTTCAGTTTGAATTTTTTCTTTTTTTTTCTTTTGTTTTTTTAACCTCAGTCTGTTAAAATAAGCACAATGAAAGTGTACAACATAATACTAGTCAAATAAGTGCAGACTAGTCAATTACTACAAAAAATTGTGGTAGTAATAGTAGTGGGTCTATAAACCTCATTTAGCCAAAACAAATTCAAACTATATCCTTGGATACACTCAAAGTAAAAGGTTACTGCAGATGAGACCAGAAAACAACTCGAGTTCATCTGACAGATCTGAGGCTTGAGTGGAAACACCGGCATTAGTGTGTATGTAAAGGGCAGGTGTATGAGTGTGAGCAGAACCAGGGCGCGCCAGGACACACACACACGTGGAGAGCAGCAGATGGGTCTCAACATGAGCACATATTTGACACTGGAGACTTTAGGGGCTTTCCAGGAATTTATGCAAAGTTTTTTAACAGTGTTTTCTGAGTGAGCGGCACTAACCCAGAGCTCTGAGCTGTCGCAATATTCAGAGCATCCATACTGTACGTACAAACACTATGTGGAAATGGCAAAGAAGTAGCAATTAACTTAAAGCAGGTCTATTCTGTTAAATCAAGCTTGTTTCCCTTTTCATTTATGGAGTGTTCATGCATGTTTGAGTGATTCATCCCGTAACTGTTACTCTCCTGTATTCAAGCCATCATTGGTCCGATCAATCCCATTGCTCTGCACTTACTTCCATAAGTACCACATTTTGTTACAAATGGTAACAAATCCTCTCCTCCCTATTGTGATGTGCAGTTCACCAGAGAAACCGACAGCATGAGGCGCTTTGTCGTGCTGTTGCTTATGGTAACTTGTCTCTTAGTAAGTAGTTTCAGATCAATATTGTGATTTCAAATTTCCAAACTGTAACATAATGAACTTTTTTTTTTTTTTTCTGTAAGTTTCCTTTATTTCTTGGTTATATGATAAACCCTGACCCAGATCTTATGATGAACTATGTGCACAGGGTTGTAAAAGACATTTAACTCTTCCTATGCCAGTACTATGGGTCTTCCATTCTATCATCCTCCCATCACTGTGCTACTCTGAAGTGTGACCTTTGACCCCGTTTAAAGCCTGGACCTACCGGGCAGAGCAGGGACACACGGAGACTGGTGGTGGCGATCTCACTGTCCGGGTCTGCGGTCAGCTTCTCTTTGACTGCACAGAGACGACAGGTCAGTACACACACCAGCACTGTACTCAGAGCCGTACCCACACACACACACACACACACACCCACAACTACACACACAACTACACACATAACTACACGCACAGCCACAACCACACACACAACCACACACACAACCACACACACAACTACACACACAACTACACACACAGTCACACCCACAGCCACACCCACACACACAACAACTACACACACAACTACACACACAACTACACACATAACTACACGCACAGCCACAACCACACACACAACCACACACACAACTACACACACAACTACACGCACAGTCACACCCACAGCCACACCCACACACACAACAACTACACACACAACTACACACACAACTACACACACAACCACACACACAACTACACACACAACTACACGCACAGTCACACCCACAGTCACGCCCACACACACAACAACTACACACACAACTACACACAACTACACGCACAGTCACACCCACAGTCACGCCCACAGCCACACCCACACCCACAACAACACACAGAGTAGTTTAATCTTGTGACACCCTCTCACCCACACTCACACCCATCCACCCCATCACCCAGATTCACACCCCCAGCCCGAGCCCACACTCACTGAGGGCTCTGGAGTGGTCGGGGTTCCTGATGCCTTTGGCCCTGAGCCTCTGTAAGAGCACGGAGGATGACTGCTGCTTCACCAGGTACACAGCCATCGAGTAACTCTGTGAACACACACAACAACAAGGATGAATTTCAACTACTGTGCAACCTTTTGGAACTGGCCTGGGGTCTGGAAGAGTTTGCTAAACTGTGTCTGAACATGAACAGACAGAAAAAAAGCTGGGGCAGGTCACTTTTTTGTAAATTAGGTAATATTGTTTTGTGTCTCCCAAAGAGTATAATGTAAAAGCAGCACTTAACAACAAAAGCAGTGCTCTGATTGGCTCATTAGCTGTGTGAGGGCGGTCCACCCAAGTGTCACTGTTCTAAAGCCGAGTGTGTGCCTGAAAATGAATACATGTGGAAGTGGATGTTAACAATGTGTGTGTTGATAAAAAGTCACGAATGTGTGCTTTTAATAATCTAAATCCCTTTTGGCTTTAAACACACTTTAATCAATATGTCAACACTAAGACCCATTCTGCAGTTTAAATGGCCACATGTATTTATACTGATTATTACTGTTACTAAAACTCAATACACAATATGTCGATCATCTTTATGATTTAGAGATCAGATTACAACTGAACCTGTGGTTAAGAGGAGGTGATGGCACTCGGACAGAAAAGAGAGACTGCTGTAACATACACTGTACAGGCTGTGCCATAGACTGTAGTGTGTATGGGCAGTGTCACAGACTGTAGTGTGTATGGGCAGTGTCACAGACTGTAGTGTGTATGGGCAGTGTCACAGACTGTAGTGTGTATGGGCAGTGTCACAGACTGTAGTGTGTATGGGCAGTGTCACAGACTGTAGTGTGTATGGGCAGTGTCACAGACTGTAGTGTGTATGGGCAGTGCACTCTTACCAGCTGCTGCTCTGCTCCAGTGACTGTGCGCCCTTTTCGTGTCTTTCTCATTATAGCACATGCCCCAACATTGGGCTGGACACTAAATGAGTGGAAGTAGCTCCTGTGCGCTACACCTCTGCTGATGAAAATGAAATTGCTGATAGTAAAAAGCAGGACACAGCCCCAGTGTGTGTGATGAAAGATTTGAGTAGAAAATGCTGTGCAGTCCCACACAAACAGGACTTCTGCTCACCCTAAGGGCAGAGAGAGGGGAGCACTTCTCTGGATTTCTTACTTTAATCTAAACTAACTAAATCAAGATGAATGTTTATGTGTTGAGAGCACCACATGCTCTGGACTGTCCTCTGCTGAATTTGATGTGTGTATATTTGAATAGATTATTTTGCCACAATTTTTACAAACTTTAGCATTGATTATTTGCATCAATATTGGGCCAATAAGAGGTGAAAGTGTTTTCTGTCTGAATATCAGAGCTACTATGAGAAGGAACTTTCCAGAGCATGAGCTGATGGAACCATTTCATGACTGTGCCAAATGTAAAGGCAGAAGTCAAATGTGACGAGATGGTTTCTCCCATGTGTACAGTCCAGATCTCTTCCCATCCGTAGTACACAGAGTTACCATGTGATTATACACAGCATTAGAAGTGGTTACCCTGCCAATCTCCCCGCTCCAGGACACTACGATGGTGTTGGGGACAGTGGTGGACAGCCGCACCAGAGATGTGATGTTGATGGGTCTGCTGGGACGCTTGGGCTCCACGCCGTTTTTGGTGGGAGGCAGATAACCCTGAGAGACAGAGAGAGAAATACATTTAAAAATCTTTGATTTGGTTGCAGTTTGAGCTGGACCACATGATGTAAATTTGATTCATGATGTCATCCCTGTGATAATATTTTTGTAACATGGTCATATTGTGATTCTCTCTTGTTTTATTTAAAGGGTCTGTACATGTTTGCCAACAGCAACAGGACAGAGGTGTTTTTATGATGTTATTATGTTTGTTTCTTTATTGCTGCTGCCGGAATCTGAATTTCTTTTGGGAACAATAAAATATCTATCTATCTATTACACTATTTTCTGATCTCTGCAATAGCAATACAACATGACTTAATGCTCACTAAAGTCTACTTAACGTAATATAGAACCTTTAATGTGGCTTTCCACCAGCCCCTCCTCCGACTGCCGAGTAACGGGTGGATTTAAATGGTCACAGTGAAGTGAAGGGTAAACACGGGCATCAATAAAAATCATTCTGGTTCTGTTTAAAATTGCTGGAGGACAGGTCTGTATTCAATGGTGAAGAGAGGACATTTGTTGACCTGGTTTATGGTTCATATCTCTGTAATTACTGGGCCTATCCACATGAAACACAAACTGGTACAAAGTTCAAAGACAGACAAAATGTTGTGAAGTAGAGCCATTATTTAATGAGAGAATATTATGCAAAAGCTGTTTTGTTAAGGTTTCTACCATGTTATGACATGTTTCCTCATCAAAAGTGTCCATGCGTGTGCAGTCGTTTCATTAGAGGGATGCAGGGCAGGGCCATATGGGAAAAGAAAGAATCAAGATTTTTTTCCCAGATTGATAGATCTTGATTTTCGATTCTATCTTCCATCTTATTGAAAACACAAACAGGCATAAAGAGCAGTGTGTCAGGATCACGACAGGTTTTATTTCATGTTCACAGGATCAACAAATCCAGAGAAAGTCAGATTTAGGAGAGAAAGAGAAGAAAAGGTGAAAGCTGCTGCTGCTGGGAGAGAGAGAGAGAAAGAGAGAGAGAGAGAGAGAGAGAGAGAGAGAGAGAGAGAGAGAGAGAGAGAGAGAGAACAGTCAGGCAGCACCGCACACACACAGAGACACACACACACAGACACACACACACACACACACAGACTCACACACACAGACACACACAGACTCACACACAGACTCACACACAGACGCACACACAGACACACACAAAGACGCACACACAGACACACACACAGACGCACACACAGAAACAGACACACACACAGACACACACACAGGCGCACACACAAACGCACAGACACACACACACACAGACACACACACAGACGCACACACAGACACACACACAGACACACACAGAGACACACACACACACAGACACACACACACACACACACACACACAGACGCACACAGACACACACAGACACACAGACACAGAGAGACACACACAGACAGACACACACACAGACGCACACACACAGACACACACAGACACAGACGCACACAGACTCACACACAGACACACACACACACAGACACACACAGACTCACACACAGACACACACACAGACTCACACACAGACGCACACACAGACACACACAAAGACGCACACACAGACACACACACAGACGCACACACATACACACACACAGACGCACACACAGAAACAGACACACACACAGACACACACACAGACGCGCACACACAGACACACACACACACACACACACACACAGACTCACACACAGACACACACACACAGACACACACACACAGACACACACAGACTCACACACAGACTCACACACAGACTCACACACAGACTCACACACAGACGCACACACAGACACACACACAGACACACACACACACACACAGACACACACACACAGACACACACACACACACACACACACAGACACACACACACACACACACACACACACACACACACAGACACACACACACACACACACACACAGACACACACACACACACACACACACACACAGACACACACACACACAGACGCACAGACACACACAGACGCACACAGACACACACAGACTCACACACAGACAGACACACACACACAGACGCGCGCACACACACACACACAGACGCACACACAGACACACACACAGACACACACAGACACAGAGAGACACACACAGACAGACACACACACAGACTCACACACAGACACACACACACACACAGACACACACAGACACACACACACAGACACACACAGACTCACACACAGATTCACACACAGACGCACACACAGACACACACACAGACACACACACAGACGCACACACAGACACACACACATACATACACACAGACGCACACACGGAAACAGACACACACACACACACAGACGCGCACACACAGACACACACACAGACACACACACAGAAACAGACACACACACAGACTCACACACACAGACACACACAGACTCACACACAGACGCACACACAGAAACAGACACACACACAGACACACACACACACGCACACACAAATGCACACACAGACACACACACAGACACACACAGACACAGAAACAGACACACACACAGACACACACACAGACGCACACACAGACGCACACACAGACACACACACAGACACACACACAAACGCACACAGACACACACACAGACACACACACAGAAACAGAGGGGGAGAGACACTAGACTTTTAGTCAGATTGTGCAGATTTAAATCAAAACGTGTGAACGTGTGAGGAGACATGAAGAGACGCGCTGAAGCTTTTTCCTAAACAGGAGCATAAATCCTCATCAGCACCACGCACACTCATACTCATGATTGGCTGTAGACCTGTCGATTAAAATGCGCTCGCCTTATCATTGAGATCGACCTAAGAAGAAATCGCGATCTATTGACCTTTCAGTTTCTGGAACTGCTCTAGGCGGATGTGTGCTGAATGTGTTGTGATAGCACTCTGAAGGGGGTGAGACATTTTCTAAACAATAACATTCTGATCTAAATATGTTATGTGTAAAATAAACACAAAGGTACAGTTTGAAGAATTTTACATCACACAATGTTCAGTCCTGTTCCTAAAAAGAAATACACCTATTTCTCAGTGTAATGGATTTTCTTTGAGCAACAGCCAAGAGTTCCAGTGGCCCCTTGCATCCATCTGAAATGATCACATCTAACTCGAGTGTCCCGTGGATGCTCCCTGTCCCAGCTGGATTACATGTGTGTGTGTGAGGAGTAGTGTGTGTGCGTGTGTGACTCACGGGCAGGTTGCAGGGCTTGCCGTTGACTTTGACACACAGATTGGGGGGAAAGTGGTCGTCTTGTGGACAGCTGGTCTCAGACAGACAGAAGCGCAGCTGAACCTGGACTGAGAAGTCACACTTGGTCCCCGAGATGTCCCTGCAAGAACACAAACACACACAGTAACACACACACTCACACACTGTAACATACACAACACACAGAGCAACACACAGTCACACACTCCCTAACACACACCCAGTAAACACACACACTCACTCAGTAACACACACAGACACACAGTCCGTAATGAAACCAGCTGTTCTATTAGCCAGCATTCTGCTCACCACACACAGCAGATGGACAGAGCAGAACCAGTGAAATACCAGGAGTCAAAAAAGCATTTGGGGAGAAAAAAAACACTTGTCTACTGAACAGGACATATGGATGGAAATGCACAAGTTAAAATGTTTTTTTTCTTATTATTTTAAAGAAACTGTATGTAGCCTGCTCCTTTTACAGGTTTGTATTTTCTCCGTATATGGACAGAACACATGGCTCATGTGAAAGATCAGAACCTCCAGAATTCAGTCCCTGAGCAGCAGAGGCTGCACTAGCACTGACTCATGATTGACTGCAGGTGCTAGTTCCTGATTGTGTTTGTGTGGTGTACTTACATGGAGCTGCTGATCTGCTGCACCTGCTGAGGCGTCAGGGCGAAAGCGAAGCATGTCTCCTGGAAACGCTGACTGTTGTCTGAGGCTGAGGAGAGACAAGAGGACAGGTCAGTGCTTGAGACAGCAGGAGAGACAGGAAGTCATGTCAGTGTACGGGTGAGTGTACGGGACAGGAGGACAGGGCAGTGCACGCAACAGGAAAAGAGAGACAGGAGGACGGGTCAGTGCACGGGACAGGTATAAGCACTGGTCATTTTGTCTGTAACAGCCTCTCAATCTGCAGTCATCAGTTTACCGACGTCATGTGTATGAAACAGAATAATTGAGGGGTCATCAAAAGAAATAAAAGTACTTCGGACACCTCAGCCTCAATACTATTTGCACAATCACACACAAACTGAAAGAAGTACAGTGTGAAGCAGCAACAATGTGCTACTGACAACTTCCTCTTCTTTATAAAGACGGTGAAGTTTTCACATCCAGCAGGGGGCAGTCTCATATGTGAAGCAGTGCACCGGTCAAAGCACCAGGTCTGTTGTGTCTACTGTCACACAATGTTAAGTTCAGTCTATGGATTTAATCTATATTTAATTGAGAAAGAGCTGCTGTGGCAAAGGCCGACTGTAAGAATGTAAGAAGTGTTAAAGTGAGAGCTCAGATCATATTAGAAATAACATACACCCAACCCCACCACAACACACATACACACACATACACACACACACACAGTGCACACACGCACACACACACATACACACACACACACACACACACAGACACACACACATGCACACACGCACACACACACACGCAGTGCGCACACACACATGCACACACACACAGTGCACACACGCACACACATGCACACACACACAGTGCACACACGCACACACATGCACACACACATGCACACGCGCACACACACACACACACGCGCACGCACACGCACACACACACACACACACACACACACACACACACACAGTGCACACACGCACACAGTGCACACACGCACACAGTGCACACACGCACACACATATGCATGCGCCCACACACACGCACACACATGCACACACACATGCACACACACACATGCACACGCACACACACATACACAGGACACACACAGGCGCGTGCACACACGCACACAGTGTGCACATACACATACACAAACAGGTGTACAGCTCAGACACATGTGACACACATATGGGCAGTGACTGGTTTAGTTTGTGGTAAACCCAAAATCAGGAGAAACAGAAAACGGACACCAAAACCCGCAGAGGTGCAAATGCAAGGAGCAGACAGACAAAAGTGAAAAAATACATAGCACACTCAGATGGCCGATGTCCAAAAGCTTATTTATTTTCAAAATAACCTTTTGGCAAAAAAGCCTTCATCAGATATTTTTCTTGCTTTGGACCACAGCACACCCAAAGTCAGGGTCAAACAAATGTTCAAAAGTAGAGATATTATTTCTGAAAAACAAAGAAAACCACATCTCTGCATTCAGTCTGTAGTGTAAGACCACTCACCACACAGGATTTATTTTCTGTCGTTGAACAAACATTTTTGATACTAAAGAATAGACTTGATACTGTGCACCCATTTTTATGTGCACATTTTAATTCTCAACATAAAATGATCAAATCAATAATTCAAAATGTCGGACAAATAAAGTGATCAAGCACACTGAGCAATGAAATACAAAAATAATAATAAAAAAGCTCAAACAAAAGTGTCAGTGCAGCTCAACAGGGAGGGTCATCAGGTCAGGGCAGTGTGAGGAGAGTAACAGCCCTCAGGACAAAAGTGTCATCTCTGTCCTGAAACATGGGCATCAGAGCAGCCTCCAGGGGGAGCAAGAAGAACTCTACAGACACAACAGGAAAGCCTCTCCTAAGCCTCTCGTTCTCTCCGCTCTATTGTTGATGAGACGGGATATTTCTTCTGCCATTCCTCTGCACATTTATTTACACCACCAAGTCTCACACTAGCTCTGATAAAACTAAAGATGAAACTTTAAATAAGTGTCTAGTTTTGATACTAGTTTTAATATCAACCCTAACAAAACATGAACACCTCGCTCCATAAGAACCCAGCTCCAACTAGTTTTTTTTTTTTTCTTCTCATTTTGCTTATTCATGCCTGAGATGTTTCTGCTAATCCCTCAAGTTTGTATAATACATGTTGGCAGAGGAAAGCGTGTGAGTCTGCACAGAGTTCTCCTCAGGTCCTGGTTTTCTCCGTCGCCCTTCTCATGTCCCTCTCCATGTCCACTCCATGTCCTCTTCATGTTGCCCTCATGTCCTCCTTATGTTCCTCCTCATGTCACTCCCCATGTCCTCCCCATGTCCTCCTCATGTCCACTCCATGTCCTCTTCATGTTTCTCCTCGTGTCCTCCTCATGTCCTCCACATGTTCCTCTTCATGTAATCCTCATGTCTTCCTCATGTCCCTCTCCATGTCCTCTTCATGTTGCCCTCATTTTCCTCCTCGTGTCCTCCTCATGTCCTCCTCATGTCCTCCTCATGTCCTCCTCATGTTCCTCCTCATGTCCTCCCCATGTCCTCCTCATGTTTCTCCTTTTGTTCCCCTCATGTCCTCCCCATGTTCCCTTCATGTCCCTCCCCATGTCCACCTCATGTTTCTCCTCATGTTCCTCCTTATGTCCCTACCCATGTCCTCCTCATGTCCTCCCCATGTCCACCCCATATCCACCTCATGTCCCTACCCATGCCTCTCCTCATGTTCCCCTCATGTCCTCCTCATCTGCTCCTCATGTCCCTCTCATGTTCCCCTCATGTTGCTCCTAATGTTCTCCTCATGTCCCTCCTTCTGTCCCTCCTGGTTATCTCCAGATCCCAATCTTTGTGTCCTCATTGTGTCCTCCCAATATCCCTCCTCGTGTCCTCCTTATGTCCCTCTCATGTTCCACCTCATGTCCCCCCTCGTGTCCTCGTCATGTCCCTCCTTATGTCCTCATTGTGTCCCTCCTTGTGTCCTCCACATGCCCCTCCTCATGTTCCTTCTCGTGTCTCCCTCGTGTCCCTCCCCATGTCCCTCCTTGTGTCCTTGCTGCGTCCCTCCTTGTGTGCTCCTCATGTCCCTTCTCATGTCTCCGTCATATCCCTCCCCATGTCCCTCCTTGTCTCCTCCTGGTGTCCTCCACATGCCCCTCCTCATGTCCCTTCTCGTGTCTCCCTCGTGTCCCTCCCCATGTCTCTCCTTGTCTCTTCCTGGTGTCCTCCTCGTGTCCCTCCCCATGTCTCTCCTTGTCTCTTCCTGGTGTCCTCCTCGTGTCCCTGTCATGTCTCTGTGTCTCATTCATTAGCCTAATGTCCGTCTCACCAAACACAGGGTCATTTAAGCGCTCGCTGTGAGCTGTTATTTCCCCGGTGCTTTGAGGTGCAGCCTTTGTACTTCCAAAGACAAATAATAGAGTGTTCAAGCAGCCCTCCTCCTCTCCCTCCTCCTCCTCCTCTTCCTCTCCTCCACCTCTCCCCTCTTCTCCTCCCTCCTCTCCTCCTTCCTCTCCTCCTCCTCTCCTCTCGCCTTCTCTCCCGTTCCTCCCTCCTCCCTTCCTTCCTCCTGTTCTTCTCCGCTCTGCTCTCCGGGCAGCGGGCTATAAATAGAAGAGTGTGCTCTCTCTCTCTCTCTCTCACTCCCGCTCACTCTCTCACTCCTTCTTTCTCTACCTCTCTCTTTTTTCTGTCTGCCTCTCTCTCCTCTCTCTCTGTTTCTCAATCTCTCTAATGTGGCTACAAGTGCCCTGGGGCAGACTGACAGAAGTGAGGCTGCCAATCTGCATCATGGGCTCCTCCCACCACCATCACACACACACACACACACACACACATACACACACACACACACACACACCACTTTAACACAAGGCAAAGTGGGTGAAGAGTCTTGCCTAAGAATCCTCTCTTTCCATGGAAACCCGACCGAAGTTCAACGGGATATTTGTCCAAACCCGTGAGAACCAAATATTTAGCACTTATGTTGGGGGTCGGGTCGGACTCGGACACATCGGTGCTTTGAGACTCATAAGTGTCCAAAAGATCAGAGCGCTGCACTTCTAGTTTAGACACAAGTCAAAACTCAAAATTATTATTTGTGAAATGTGGTGCAATACTTCAGATTACGGATGGGCATTCGATGAAATTTCATTAATCGATCGTCAGGAGAATTAACGATCGATTATCAATTAATCATTAATGTTTTTATATTAAAATGATCATCATTATTATTACTGCTAATCAGCATATATAAATTCAACTTTACGACATATAAACATAATCACTCTAGAGCCACATCAGTCAGTTTGACATTAGAATGTCTTTAATGCAGCTTTGTGCAAGTCTCACAGAAACTAAACTTAAAACCACATGACTATTTTGCATAAACTAAGCGAAGAAAAAATAGCTCTTGTGCAACTTCTGTTGGACTAAAGGACATGACACAGTGGAATATAGGACAGACCAGGTGACTATATTTGCGTTTGTCAAACCTGGGACACCGTACGGGCGGTGGGAGGTAGGGCCTCGTCATCGACATTGAGCGACTCTCACTTGGCAAAGCTTTTTAATGTTTGTGTGTGCTGCTTTGTACACTGTGCACTGTGTTCCCATTTGTTTCGACCAGAACGAAACACAGGGAATTTCTGGTACAAGTCATTGTTAAACGTGCATTTGTGTATGTTGCAGGCTGACTGACTGTCTGTGTCTGCTCGCTCTTTCTGAGCGCACAGAGAGCAACGAGAGACGCTCAGTTTAATGACCCAATGAAAGGAAATGAAAACCTGAACATTTGCATCACTTTATAAAAACAAACAAACAAACAAAACAAACAAACCAAACAAAAAAAAAACCTGGACAAGACAGACATGTCCGTGGAAAAACGGACATTTGGTTACACCCTACACTATGCACAGAAACCTACATTTGGTTTGTCGATTAAAAATGAATGTAATCGATTCTTCATAATCAATTATCGATTGAATCGACTAATCATGCTCATCCCTACCTCAGATACAGGATTTTTAAAGCATAAAAATTGGCAATAAAGTCCACAGGAAGTAGA